TCATCACTGCTAAATCATTATCGAGTGAAGAAAGTATCAATAGTCTTTTGACAAAGTCTACCAGTAATCACTAGTTGCAAAGCAACTAACAATCACCCTTCAACTTGCCTTCACAAGACCCGAACACTAACTCATGTCATCGAGTTACATACTTATCCAACATGAACACAATACCCCAGGGACGAGATAAAAGTTCATAGACAAGCACAAACTAAATGACCACTCGAATCCAACTCAACCGCAATAAGCTCACTAATGCATTTAGTCAATAGCTCTGAGCATGCCTTGAAGAGGCTAGCTATGTGATTAACACTCAGTCGAAACTAAAGTGAAGACCATGAGATGGACTCATATCGGTACACAACCTCCTCATAGACAAAGCTATAGTACAGGTACCAACATCTTAACCCTAAACAACCAAGTTGGACATCACCATCTTCAGCCAAGGCACAGTGCTACCAAGACTAAGTCAAGATCAGTGAGAGCTCACTACTCTTATAGAGTTTAACGAAATGCAAGATGCAAACTGCCACCAAGCACAACGCTACAAAAGAAAGGCACAAAGGTCACCTTTCTTAGAAAAGCGCAACGGCCACTTTCCTACATCAACTCCAGACTCTATCCAACCCAATTGCTTTAGCCCCAAAAGTCAGCATCCCTTTCGGGCCGCATCATACAAACTACCTACTAAGATCTAAGCCAACCAAAGTCAACTCCAACTTCTTCACTAGTTTGTATTGGCTTACGAAAACGGAATGGTTTTCGGTAAAGTGACCAATAGATCAGCTATTGGAGAAGTCTAAGAAAATTTGTGGAAAATTTCCCATCCTAGAGAAAGAATGACTCTCAGTCCAGGATTGCAAACTTTCAAGACTCAACCAACTTCCTCCTACCTACAACTTCACATAGGTTCACCTCAACACAAATTCTCATGATCCATCAATATGCTTAAGCATCGAACATCTTTGCCCATTTTTCCAATATCCAACACCGACATCCGTAAAGTGCTGAATGAATATCTAAAACTTGATCACGAAGACCACATCTTCGGATATCCACATTGCACTAACACTCTTCTTCAATCACCTTCAAGATTCAATGTGAAGTCAAAACACTAACAAGAAAAATGACATGAAAAATCAAGGTCTAAGGAAAATTCCTCATCACTCAAAATAACAATGCCACTTCCACTAACACCAGTGCTAGCAATGTCAATGCCTCAACTACACACCTTCTCCATCCAACAATCTACTCCAAGTACTAATGGATCAACCGACAAGTCATAGCAAGTGAATGCTATAACCTTTTTTCAACACCAATGGGCAAACTCAAGGAAACAAGGTACCAACTTAAGCTTAGCACAATGGATCACCTCTGAGAATCCAGTTAAAGCTACTACAATGCTACTACGTGCAGGTAGACTAGCTTCACCATTAACCACTTTGGGGTTGATCATCATTTACCCAAGCAACTTCGTAAACACATTGTTCATTATCACATGGATATGATATAAATCACAATGACTTGATCATCAATTGAGTAACGCAATGAGCAATGCTTATGTCATTACTTCAAACGTTTATGTGAGTATCAAATGCCAACTCGATTCGACAAAATGCAACATAAATGCCACACTCCACCAATAGAGATTTACGACACCCAACACCACTAACTTTTGTTCACAACACAGACAAGCTCATGCCACTCTCTTTCCGACCAATCTCAAAACTATTTCAACACCAAGCTACTCAAGGAGCAATAGCAAGGTTCCCTGGAAAAGAATTGAGCATTGCAACCCAAGCCTTCCAATAGCAAGCCTAGACAAAATGGTTTAGTGTTTCACCACTATCCATCCCATAACTCACCACTTGTAAGACTATCACTTCCAACATGCATCAAGATAAGGACTCTTGATTGCATAATGTGAACACAAGTAATGAGTTAACACCTCGTTGCAAATCATCTCTCCAAGAAGAAAAAATGATTTACGTATTTGATCCTCCGTCCCCGATGACTCTCTTTTCGGTCTCATCTTTGACCAAACCTCAAGCTTGCTTTCGCACTGCTTTTAGTTCAATCGAAGAAAAGTTTATGAGAGAGCACGGCAAAAATTACTTGAACCAATAGACTATTCCCTACAGTCTTGATTGATCCACTTATAATCATGCCTAGGAAGGATCCACTAGTGCCGTGCTAAACCGCTACGGACCAGCCTATTTGCCACTCATAGCAAACCCAGGAAAAGTTTATTTTCACCCATGGTATATGGAACAACTCATGGAACCACCGATAGGCTAACATTAATCCTGCCAACTCAAAGTGTAACCTCGAGTTGCTAATGCGCCTCACTTACGAGCCCAAGTGCAAACTCATGTAACGGAACAACTCAATTCACCCTATGAGCCCAAGAGCAAGCTCACATAATATGGAACAAAAAGGTAACCAAAACCTATCCCAAGGAACCAATGTGAAGTCTTTGCACCCAAATGTGTACCCACTCGGATCATTGTTTTCATCTCTGCGTATGCAACGAGACTAGTTGCCCAATCTCATTGGATAATATCGTTGAGACTCATTCTCTGATACCAACTGTAACGCACTTTATCTCTCTCCCCTTAAGCCAACTAGAAAAGGGGCAATTGTTTGATGAGAGAGCCCTTAGTGGCTATTTTATCCCCATTTATCTCCCAAAGTTCCAAGGATCCACGGTGACAGTATATCCAAATCTCATCCCATGATCACATGCACTATAGTATGGGATGGTGAGCTTGCTCACAGGTCACAGACATAGGGCATCAAGTTTGTGCTCCACAACGAGGGGGTGCTCTTTGAGTCTGGCTACCCTAGATCGTGCTGGGAGAGCACAGCGAACTCTATAAGAGAATGCACACCATGCTCAACAGGTCTGTGGGCTCCACGCCTCTCAAGAAGTACCTCACACCAAGTAACGGATGAGTACGTGGAGCAGGAGCACCAAGATCTTGCTCCCAGAGGGTAAATTATTCTCCAGCATATATATTCTATGATCCTGATATGGTGATCTTGTAATACGACTTTCGAGGATGGATTGAAAGCACCTGGGAGTGGTGGCAGCCGCAGTTGTTTTCTCGCTCTCCTTGCCTAGCTCGTCTCCCTCGGCGCTGGAAATCGATCGGCTGTATCTAGCCCATCAAGCAAAGGTAGGACGGGATTTAGTATCTGGTGCAAGGCTTGAAAGTGGCAGGCACGAGCCGATACTACAAGATCAAGTTTCCCAAAGGCAACTAAACCTGGTCTCCCAGTAATTCCCGATGGAATTCCTTTCAATCACGAGTTACTTCTGGTTGCAATCCAAAATATGTAAACCCGAAACTGGTAGGTGAAAGTGGTCACACTGCTTGCTCACTCGCTTGCTCTATTTGACGGAAGTGAGGAGCCACAATCTTTTGTATGAAGTCAAGTGCCCCGACTCTCCTTGTAAGTTCTCCCACTGCATCAAAACACACATTTTTCTCCACTACAACAAAGAAAAAAAAATTCACCTCAGCATAGGAAGCAGAGATAATCTTCCATTCAGCAGCCTCCACCAACCTATGCTTCAAAACAGTGTGTCCCAGAAGATCTCCTATAACAAACACACAAAACGAATCACAAAAAGAAAAAACATCCTAAGAGCTTTGAGTACTGACGTGTTCCGAGCAAAATGGCTCGGCCGGTTGACCTCGATCACAACTTTACCGCCCTTCATGGCAAAATCCAGAGAGTAATCCGCATCAACGTACTCGGGGATCCACTGCCTTCCAGTGCACACCAAGAACCTCTCGGTATCCTTTTGCAAGAAAGAAGTGGACTTGCGAGAGCTTCTCTCCTTTTCCCAGCTTCTCTATCCTGCCAAGCTGCAAATGCTTCCCTTCCCACTTGAAGGCCAGAACAACCTGGTATAGCTTGGGGTTGGCCGAGAACAGCATACGACCACGCGATGCTCGAGAGCTGCTCGATCGATAGCTTCCCGGGGAAAGATTCTTCTTGGAACTGTTCTTCACCGAGCTCCAGAGAACCTTGTTCTTGCTGAAGAGCCGATGAGTCCAGGACAGAATCCAGAGGTTGAGCCATGACCCGAACGACCAAAGAAGCTGGGCCAGTTCCTGTGCTCGAAACTCCTTGGGAACTCCGCTCGCAGCGTCCATGAGCTTCTCAAAGAGTGCGGGCGAGCTGTGCTAAGCTCTTCCGCCGCCTTCAGAGGCACTGATATTGGGTCAAAGAAGCCCTCACATCCAAAGGGATATGGGGAGAGGTGTAAGTTCCTCCACGCTGTTACCACCGTCACCGGGTTGGCGCTCGTCACCACGCTCAAAGAGCACGAGAGCATCACGGGAATAGCTATGGTTCCAGACTCGGCAGTGCTCTTCACTGGTTCTACCGATGGAACTCTCAGGGCCTGATTGCGACTCAGGGACCGTGTCAGATTACTCTGAGGCTAGAGGACAAACTTCGTCTCCTATCTCTGTCACGCGTATATGAGGCGGGACTCCTTGGATCAGTCGTACATGGCTGGACTCTGAAGTCTAGAGGATTCATGCGTAGGGGAACGACTTGGTACGAGATCAAATCTGATCAAAGCAATGCAAGTCAAGAAGATTAACGTGACAATGCATGAAACGAACAAGTGGGTAAGAATTATAAAGTGGCACTTTAATAAAACGAGTGCTTGAAACGAGAAGATCAAGTCCGAGGTACGTGAAAGTATGGCGGATGAGATCCTATTCTTTATTCTAGGAACGAAAAGGTGATGAACGAGAGGACACACGACAAAAAAACCATGCAGTTCTTCCAAGAAAAAATCGAAAAGATTTACTATGAAAACTCGACGTAGAGAAACTGGGACTTCCCCGTGGCATTCGAAGGATCGTGGAATCCATCGAATGATCGGTAGCGCTCAACTAAAAAATCGCCCATTCTTTCTGATTGATTGGCTCGTTTGTCTAGCGAAAAAATCTTCTCGTGTTAGATGTGTTACCCAGCCCTAAGTGCTAGCGATGGAGCTCCTACATTCCTCGGCGCTGTGCGTAGCGCGCTTCCATCGCTGCTCTGGCGGCAGGAGCCAGGATTTTGGATTCTTCCAGCAGCGGCAGCGATCGCAGGTGAGGCAATTTCCCTGGTTGGCTGCGAATGCCGCGGCGCCATCGCGTCCGGCGCCAGTGAAGCCGGATTTCTTTGACAACGATGACTCGGAGGAGGACGAGGAGGATCAGAGGCAGCGGCGCAAGGCGGGGGAGCTGGATTGGGCGACTAGAGCTCGGGAGCTTGCGATTCAGGATATGAGCTTCCGGAACTTCACCGACGAGGATTTCCAGGCCCTACTGCCCCCGCATTTGCGAATCTCCAAGAAGAAGGCCAAGAAGAAGAAGAAGACCAGGGCCAAGCAGGAAGGTGCGGAGGCTGCACTGCAGCTGGAGGAATCGCGCAGCGCGATTAAGACCAAAAAGAAGAAAGACAAGGACGATGATGCGAGCAGCCTCCAGGCTGCGAATGACACCACTCCGGTCGATCCAAAGAAGCTCAAAGCGCTGGCCAAGAGGTTTAACGCTCACAGGGAGCGCTACATGAACATCGAGCAAAGCTACAGCGACAGCGAAGGTGACGAGGGCGAAGAGGAGCTCACGACCGAGTTGACAGTGGTTTATGGGGAGCGTCGAGAGGAAGGAGGTGGTGAAGAGTCGGATGATGGCGAGGAGCTTCCAGCGGCCTTGAAAGATCCAAGGCTGCTGGAAATTCGTCTCAACCAGGACTTGGTCGACTCGAGGGACGTGGAAGAAGTTTTGGAGACGATCGAGAGAGTGAAAGGAAGGTTTCGATTGAGCTCCATCAACGTCGCCACTGCTCTTCACAGGATCGCCAAGCATATGGTGACGCTGTCCATGTCCGAGACGAGAAGGCTCAAGTACGCCAGGCAGTGTGATGTGGCCGAGCTCGTTGCTTCGGCTATGGAGCTTCTTCCGGAATGCAACGCACAGGGCGTCTCCAATATTGCCTGGGCCATCTCCAAGATTGGAGGCCACCTTCTTTACCGGGGAGAGATGGAGATAATCGCTCGAGCAGCACTGGCAAAGGTTGACGAGTTCAATCCCCAGAACATTGCCAACGTAGCCGGAGCGTTTGCTTCCATGCAGCACAGCTCGCCCGCACTCTTTGAGAAGCTCATGGACGCTGCGAGTAGAGTTCCCAAGGAGTTTCGAGCACAGGAACTGGCCCAGCTTCTTTGGTCTTTCGCGTGCATGGCTCAGCCTCTGGATTCTTTTCTGGACTCGTTGGACGCGGCTCTTCAGCAAGAACAAGGTTCTCTGGAGCTCGGTGAAGAACAGTTCCAGGAAGAATCTTTCCCCGGGAAGCTATCGATCGAGCAGCTCTCGAGTATCGCGTGGTCTTATGCTGTTCTCGGCCAACTCCAGCGTCCATTCTTCGCTCACGTTTGCAAGGAGATACTCGCGTTTGAGCAGGACGCGTCCCTGGGACAGCACAAGCATATGTTGCAGCTGACACAGCTATACCAGGTTGTTCTGGCCTTGAAGTGGGAAGGGAATCATTTGGAGCTGGCTCTTGGTGACAGGATAGAGAAGCTGGCTGCAGGTGCCTGGGAAAAGGAGAGAAGCTCTCGCAAGTCCACCTCTTTCTTGCAAAAGGATATCGAGAGGTTCTTGGTGTGCACTGGAAGGCAGTGGATCCCCGAGTACGTTGATGCGGATTACTCTCTGGATTTTGCCATGAAGGGCGGTAAAGTTGCGATCGAGGTCAACGGGCCGAGCCATTTTGCCCGGAACACAGGTCAGTAAGCTCCTAGAATGTTTTTTCTTTTTGTGATTCGTTTTGTGTGTTTGTTACAGGAGATCTTCTGGGACACACTGTATTGAAGCATAGATTGCTGGAGGCTGCTGGATGGAAGATTATCTCTGCTTCCTATGCTGAGGTGAAGTTTTTTTTCTTTGTTCTAGTGGAGAAAAATGTGTGTTTTGATGCAGTGGGAGAACTTACAAGGAGAGTCGGAGCACGTTGACTTCATACAAAAGCTTGTGGCTCCTCACATCCGTCAAATAGAGCAAGCGAATGAGCGAGCAGTGTGACCTCTTTCACCTACCAGTTTCGGGTCAAAACTTGTGAATGAACGGTCGGCCGGCTTGTGGTAAGCTATGGCGGAAGAAGAGAGAGAAGAGGAGCCACTCGGCTTGTCTGTGATCGTAAAGAAAGGACGGTAACATTGGTTGAATCGTCGGAGCCACAGACAGCGCGATCAAACAGCTGTTTAGCGAGAGTAAGCTAGAAGCACTAGTATCCTCTGCTTTTTTTGTGTAGGGTTATCAGTGCATGCTTCTACTTGCTTAAATTCGCCTCTCCTGCATTGATATAACGCACCCAGATCTTCGCTTTTGCAGCAGCAGCAGCGAGAAAGAGCAAAATGGCGGCTTGCGGCACTCGTCTTCTTCCAAAGTCCTCCTTCCTGTCTTCGGCCAATTCGTCCTCCTTTCTGGGTGGTTCGTCGGTTCCTTGCGCCTCTTCTCCTTCCTCGTCATCGTCCAAGCTCGGCAGCAGCAGGTGCATCAAGGTCCGAGCCGTCGTTGCATCGCCCACTAAAGTTCATGCGGAGCCGGCCACCAAGATCAAGTCGATCAAGGCAAGGCAGATAATTGACAGCCGAGGCAACCCAACAGTGGAAGTGGATCTGGTGACTGACCGGGTGTATAGATCAGCAGTTCCCAGCGGGGCCTCCACCGGAATCTACGAGGCTCTTGAGCTCAGAGATGGTGATAAGACCGTCTTTGGAGGCAAGGGAGTGCTCCAAGCTATTGCCAACATCAACGATGTCATCGCACCAAAGCTCGTTGGCGTGGATACCAGGTAGCTTTTTTTCTAAAAGCTTACATTTTTTTCTTTGTTCTCCTGCCAATCAACTTATGTGCGAGCTTTCAGGAACCAGAAGGATGTGGACAACATTATGCTGGAGCTGGATGGGACGCCAAACAAGTCGAAGCTTGGAGCGAATGCCATACTTGGTGTCTCCCTGAGCGTGTGCCGAGCCGGGGCCGGAGCTAATGGCGTTCCTCTCTACAAGCACATTCAGTCCATTGCTGGGATCAAGGAACTAGTCATGCCAGTTCCTGCTTTGAACGTTATCAACGGCGGCAGCCATGCAGGAAACAAGCTTGCAATGCAGGAGTTTATGATCCTCCCGGTTGGTGCTAGCTCGTTTGCCGAGGCCATGCAGATGGGATGTGAAGGTTCGTTTCTTCGTTTCTCTTGATTTTACAGGAACTTTTGTTTGTGTTTCAGTTTACCAGGTTCTGAAGGGAATCATAAAGAAAAAGTACGGCCAAGACGCATGCAATGTTGGTGACGAGGGAGGTTTCGCTCCAAACATTCAAGACAACAGAGAAGGTCTTGTTCTTCTGGTTGACGCCATTGAAAAGGCGGGATACACTGGCAAGGTCCGTATACGTAAGACTGTTTCTCAACGTCTTTTACATGTTTTCATTTCAGGTGAAGCTGGGTATGGATGTCGCTGCATCCGAGTTCTATAAGTCTGGAAAGTACGACCTGGACTTTAAAGACCAGTCCAGCAGTGGAAAGAACATATACACGGGCGAGGAGCTGGGAAATCTTTACATGGAGTTCGTGAGGGACTTCCCGATTGTGTCCATTGAGGATCCGTTCGATCAGGACGACTGGAGCTCGTGGAAGAACTTGCAGTCTCAGTGCGACGTCCAGCTCGTCGGAGATGATTTACTGGTGACGAATCCCAAGCGGATAGCCGAGGGAATCAGCAAGAACGCTTGCAACGCATTGTTGCTAAAGGTAAGCACGGTGTCGCCTTCCATCATTTCTCATGGAATCGAATCCTTTTTTTTTTCTTTTCTTTCGCTTTTTGCAGGTGAATCAGGTCGGCTCCGTGACTGAATCCATCCAAGCAGCTTTGGATTCAAAAGCTGCTGGATGGGGTGTTATGGTGAGCCACAGAAGTGGAGAGACCGAGGACACATTTATTGCGGACCTGGCTGTTGGACTCGCTAGTGGACAGGTACCAATTCTTCGACTTTTTAAAGTTTGCTTGTAGAATAGCTCTTTTTGTCTTGATTCGCTTCGATCCTTTTCTCATCGTTTCATGTTCTCGTTTCAGATCAAAACAGGAGCTCCGTGCAGGAGCGAGCGCCTTGCAAAGTATAATCAGGTAAGGTTGAAAGCTTTTTGGTCTGAGATTTGAATATTTGCTACGAGCAGTTGCTGCGCATCGAGGAAGAGCTTGGAAGCGTTTGCTACGCAGGAGAGAACTTCAGGAAACCATGACCGAGGCCAGGACTTTCTTTTTGTCCGACGGCGAGCTAAGAAACTTTTCCTGCTATGAAAATAAACCATGCAACTTGCGAGACTTGCAAAACCATGGAGTGCTTTGCGTGTCTTGACTTCTCGCCTTCGAAATAATTGTTCCAGGCAAGGAATTTGGATCGTCCTTGGGAACAGCATTGGATCTCTCGTACAGACTGTGTACGGAGAGAACTTTTGATTCTCGTCCAATTCTCGTCCCAAGGTAGGATGACCAACGAATTTGGTGGGCCAAAACTTTTCTTTCTTTTCGCAACCAAACGTTTCACGGAGCGATGGGTATTTTTTTGGGAGGCACACGTCTTGGGAGGCATTGTTTATCTCCATAACAAGATCTCTCTCTCAAGTCAGCCTTGCGAGGAATTCTTTTTCAGCCTCATAATTTCTACAAATGAATCACGACTTTGTGTACTCCTTGAGTTCTGCGCCTGAGCTAACAATCTGATACGATGTAGTACTCCATTTTCTTTTCTTTTGGTACGGCAACGTTGAAACACAGTGAATGCCGCGAAAGTTTTTGTTATAGTGGCAGCAGCAGCGTTTATAGTATGTACTTCAGGATTGTGACCACCAGATTGACGAAGAAGAAGAAGATCATCGTTGATGTGGAGATATCGTGAAGGATTGAATCAAGCATAAGCGGTTTGAATGCATGCGTCCCGAGGCCTTTGAGGCGTAAAAGAGATCAAAAGGAGAAGGGTCACTTTCGCTTCTGGGTATTGCTGGTCTGTGTGCGAGTTGAGTTTTGACAGTGAGGCTTGTGTAAGTAAGAACAGTCTATACCTGCATTCATTTCCGAAACATGGGTTTGGTAAGGAAGGATCAAACACAGTTCTGCAACAAGATCGTACAATTAAGAACAAAAAAAATTTCAAAAAAAAACTCGCAAAGCTGCACAAGAAAAGATAAAGAGCAGAAAAGAATTCTGAAACGGCAACAAACAGACAAGCGAGAACAAGCAACACGAAAGCAGCGTACAAATGATATTCTTCAAGGTTGGTGGCGCAAAGTGAATTCATGAAAATGAAACGAAGGGTGGTGGTGGTGAAATGTGAGTGAGTGTTCAAAGCAACATGCACCGCGGAAGAACATGAGAGAGTTTGCTCGTCCGTCAATATCGACATCGCCCTCTTCCTTTCTTTGGCTCGAAGGAGAGAATTCTACCACTGAAAGGGGAGGAAAACCAACCAGACGACGCAAAACAAGGTGGTGGCGCTAACTACCTCTGCTGCAACCGCAAAACAAGAAAAGACTAAAAAAAAGAAAAAAAAATGCTTGTCAAATTTCTTGTTTTTCACTGGGACCTTCCAACAAAACTTTCCAGTCCAGCAAAGAAAGACAGTTTGTTTGGAGCTGCTGCCACGCTGCTACTGCTGCACTCTGCAATCTGCAACTAAGTGCAGAAGCTGATCAGCATCAGCTCCTGCCTGCCTCCTGCCTGCTGCTGCTGCTGCTTGCTTGCTTTCTTGCTTCTGTTGGATGGATGATTTAAACTGGTGAAAATGAAAACTTGAGAAGTGGGAGGCATTGAAAGCAACAGCAACGCGAGGCCTTTGTGTTTCTGGGGGAGGGGTTTCGCTGGCGCATCCACCGGTCCATCGGAAATCAAATCGAAACGATCACAGTTTCTTCAACCAATCTTTCCAAGAAAGGAACTCGCGTACGGAAAAGAGCGGGAAAAGCCGCCGGATAAACCCTAAACCTCGCGCGGGAAGAGAAAGATCTGCAGATGCCGCCTTAATGGGCGATCGTAACGTGAGGAGAGATCGCATCGCAGTGAAGGTAAGATGGTTTTAGTGTAGATTAAGAAGAGGAAGAAGAAGAAGAAGAGAGATCGAGAATAGAAGGGACGAATCAGATGGGTTGCGAATGAATGCGAGCGTTAGAGCGGCCCAATGGGAGGCAAGTTTTTCCTGGCAGGCAGGCCAAGAAGGCATACTGGCGTTCTCTCGCTGTGTTCTTCTGGTATGCGTGTTCTTGCTGCTTATAAAGGATGGGAAGGTCAAAAACTTTAGATTTATTTTTCTCCCTTGAGTCGAAGCGAGCAGCCAAGGTCAAGAAGACTCAAGAACAGCTTTTTCTGCTCTGCTCAGTGTGGGAAGCTTTTTTTTTTTCCCGTGTGTTTTCTTTCGTGCCCGGTTTGTTTTTTTCCTCTTGGTGCCTGGAGTTTTGGTTCCCTCTTTATCCGTGCTGCTGCGCCTCTGGCTGGGCTGGCTGGCTTTAAATTTTTGTTTCTCTCTTTTTCCACCCTTGCATTTTTCCCCAGGTAGCTATGCGTAGTTAATGGCTTTAGCTACAGGTTGAAAGAATCATGGAAGCAAACTTCTTCGTTTCGTCCTCGTGAGAGAGAAAGCGAGAGAGAGAGAGGGACGAATCGAGACTCGAGTCGAACAAGCTGAGCTTAGTTCTTCGGTCCCTCCGTGTCGGCTGCTGGACGAGCATGTCCCAGGAGTGGGCGGTGGAGGGGAAGGAGTAAAGATATTGTGAAGATTCAGTGAGAAGGAAGAAGAGTAGGGAGATACCTCGTCGGGCGCTTTCCAGCGTTTTGGAGAGGGATTTCCAGCAGGATCATCCGTAGAGCTCCAGCTGACGAGATTAAACTCCGGCTCACCAGTCGCCTTGACAGGTAAAACAACTTTCTGGTTCTTTTCTCTTGCTTCGCTCTGCCTCTTTTCTTTTTTTCTCTTTCCTACTTAGAGGGTGGTGGTGGTGTGCAGCTTGTGACGCTTCACAAGGTGGGAGAGAAGAGAACGGTGGCACGAAGAAGAGGCAAAGCAGCGTTTTGCTACTAGGCGTGGTGACTTGCGTAGTTGGCAAGGCTGGCTGATAAACAAAGAGGAAAAAATTGGCACCAAAGTACAAGTGGTCGGGGGCGGGGAGGAGTTTCGCGAGTGTTTTGTGGGATATGATTGTCGAATGGCGAGGATGAAGAAGGATGTCTGCACTGGCACCAGCAGTAGCAGTAGCAATAGCAGCAGCGGCAGAAGTAGCAGCAGTTTCAGTCACAGCGGCAGAAGTATCATCAAGAACAACACGAGCAAGAGTTGCAAGGATGTCCCGCACCACCAGGGGCAGCAGCAAGGAGAAGACGGGGGGGTGGAGGAAGATCAGCAGGAGCAGCAGCCATTCTCGTTTCCCAGGCTATTCAAGATCGAGGACGAAGACGAGGACGATCCAGTGACGAAGAAGGGAATGTACATCGACATGGATATCGCCTTGCCGTGCGCGTGGGAGAGCATGAAGCGCCAGGGGTCGTCAAAGTCCTCGTCGGTGGACTCGCAGGAGTTTGATTTCGGCAAGTGCTTGCGGGGCTTGGATCCCGCGGTTGACACTCCGGCCGACGAGCTCTTCTACAAGGGACAGCTTCTTCCACTCCATCGCAAACTCAGGGACGAGGACGAGGACGCGGAGGATGTGGATGACGAACAGGACGACGAAGAACAATCTATGGTGAGAGAGGAGGACGCCAAGGCGGATTCTTTCTCGTTCAAGGCCCAAGGTGGTCTTTTGAAAGACTTGGGATGCTTGAGCCCGGACAGGTTCCCGACGCGCGAGGAGGCCACCGCTTGCGGCCTGATCGATTCCAGAAGCTCCAGCTTCCGCTCCAGCAGCAGCTACTGGGATTCCGGGGACAAGGACAGCGGCGACAGCAGTAGCAGCTGCCGTGACTCCAACGGGAGTTCTCAAGACTCTTGCTTCGAAGCTCCGGCACAAGGTACGAGTTCTACTGCCGCTGCTGCTTCTTCTACTTGTATTAGCGGCGCTCCAGTCGTCCATCCAAAGAACGAGGAAGAGAAGAAGAAGCAGAGCAAGTTCTCGTCCTCGTCTCCCTTGAGTTGGAAGAGGAGTGCGTTCAAATGGAAGGTTCTGCTGGGAGGCGCCTCCTCGCCCTCCTCCAAGAGGGCCTCCCTGTCCGCCTCCTCGTCCTGCTCTTCCACCTCGTCGGCCTCGTCCGCCTCAAGAGGCGTCCACTTGAGCGACCGGAGGAGGAATCACTCCTTCACATACGGCTCCTCGGCATCAACGTCGTCGTCAAACTCGGGCCCGTTGCTCGGCTCGTTCTTCACGGGCAGTGACAGACCGAGGCAGCAGCAGCAGCAGCAGCAGTACAGGCACTCGGTGTTGTCCTCCTCGGCTGGGAAGAACTTGCAGCAACTGAGTTCCTCCTCGTCTCACCACAGCAGCTTTAGAGACGTGAGCAGCAGCAGCAGCAGTAGCGGTGGTGGCAATGCCGCATCGTCGAGCAAAGCCACCGAAGTCCTCCAAAAGTACTTGAAGTTCATCAAGGAGAAGGTCTCGTCCGCCAACAACACCATCCCCGCGGGCGGCTCGATCTCCACGCCGCCGTACTACCTCTACCCGTACTCGTCGTCGTCATCGTCGCAGAGGAAGCACGAGTGTGGAGCTTTCCTGCCAGCGTCGTCGTCGTCCTCGAGGGCAGGAACTCCGAGGCCGGGTGGTAGCGGTGGTGGCGGAGGTGGTGGCGGCGGAGGCGGCGCTCACCAGCGCTCTTTCGAAGAGTGGCGGGCCGCCATGACGTACTACGAGCAGCAGCGCGAGCAGCACGACAAGGAGCTCATTACGTGCCCGTCGTTCCTCCCGGGGAGCCTCCGGGTGTCGTCCTTCTCGTCCCGGAGATCTAGCACGCATGCCAGCTGCGTCACCTCGTCGCGCTCCTCGCCAAACCACAGCGGCGTGCTCAAGCAGCAGTGCGTCGTGGATGGCGGTGGCGCTAGCGCTGCCGGTGGAAACGGTGGAAACGGTGGAAATGGTGGCAGCGCCAGCAGCAGCAGCAGCAGCACCGCCAGTGCCGGCAGCAGTGGCAGCAGCAGCATGAGCGACTTGCAGAGCGCTATCCAGGGCGCCATTGCTCACTGCAAAAAGTCTCAAACGTCCAGTACGCTGCTCCACCACCATCTTCGTCAATCCCACCACCACCAGAGCCAGCACCAATCCGGTCCTCTCCTGCTCGTGGAGCCAACCAGATCATCGCCACCCTCGTCTCAGACCCCCGCAGGAGCGATCGAGCAGCAAATCTTTCTCAAGCAAAACAGCTGACTACACGAAAAAAAAGAAAGAAATCTAGAAGATTTGTAGGTACGTACATATGAATGGGATGAATGAATATATTAAAGAGTCTGGCTATGGATCTTTTGTATATGGAGAAAAGCTGTGATTGTCTGAAGCTATATAGAAATAAAAAGCCCACCTTGGGAGACACTTAGATCGTTTGCTTTCTTTCGCTGGGTCCACTCCTCTCGCAGCACCAGACCACTTTGCTCATCACCTTCACCGTCATCGCCATCTTTCTAGCTGGCCGATGAATCAAAAGCTCTTCTGGCGAGGATCTGACACAAAGAAGATGCACTAGAACAACCTCAGCACTTGTTATTTACACAGCAGCGCTCCAATTTGTCTCTCTCACTCAATCCTCTCTTGCTCTCTCTCTTTCTTTTCACTCCCTCGCTGGTACAAAATTGATGTACTAACCTCCCCGGTGTTTTTCCTCCGTGTTGTTTGTTTGCTTCCTAGTCCTCCATGAAGATATCTCCCGCCCCACCACGTCCCTTTCGCAGGTCCTCGCGAATTTCCTCCTCCCTCTCCTTTAACTCCTTTACCATGGCCTGGATTTGCAGCAGTTCCCGCTCCAGCCTCTTAAACTTGGACGGGTCAGCTTGCTGCTGCTGCTGCTTCTTTGTTGCAACGCCGTTGACGTGAATCTCAACGGTGCCGTTTGCGACGCAGTCGAAAGAATGCCCGTTGTCCATCGTCGTCACCATCGTCCCTGCGTTTTTCCCGCTGGCCAGATAGCTATCCATTTGCTTGGACGCGGCCAGTATCAGCCCTGGCAATATTCGAGGCGCATTGTCAGCAAACTGGACAAGGTGGATGGAAACGTAACGCCAACTTACCCAGGAAAACGGGGGATGGCTTCCCCGGTCGCGACTTAAACTCGGGATGAAACTGCACACCCACGAAGTACTTGTGTTCTGGCAGCTCGACAATCTGGAAAGCGGTGGGGTGTGAGTTATGAACAAACTGGAGAGCAGGACTGACTCACTGACTCACCTCCATGCGCCTGCCAGTCTCGTCTTTGCCGACGAACGTGAGGCCGGCTTCCTCGAGCCTGTCAACAAGCTCCGGGTTTACCTGTACAGATTGGAAGCAATGGTACAAAGAGACAGATGGTTAAAGCTTACCTCGTAACGATGTCGATGTCGCTCATCCACAAAAGACTCGTTACCGTACCTGAACAAAGAAAGTTTAGCATGCTGTTACGAACGAGTAAACAATTGCCTTACAGCTTAGATGTAAGACAGTTTGGCTTCTGAAAGAATGTCCTCCTCACACCCAGCCTCATCGTTCCACCTTTGTGAGTCCTAGATATCTACAGGAAGTATTTAAATCGCATGCTAATGAGAGAAATAATATATATACCTCAGGCATGTACAGAACACATGGATGCGGTGTTGCAGGATCAAACTCAGTGCTATTCGCGCCGTCGAGGCCAAGGACCTAGTGGACCAGTGAAAAAACAACAATTAGAAGATTAAAAAATTACTTGTAACTTACTGAGCGTGCAAACTCAATCACTGCAATTTGCATGCCGAGGCAAACTCCAAGGTAAGGAACATTGTTTTCTCGAGCATATTTTGCAGCCAAAACCTTCCCTTGTGTTCCTCGATCTCCAAATCCTCCAGGAACCAGAATACCGTCAACACTCTAAGAAAACACTATCAAGACCAAAAAAACTCAAGATAAACAACGACACAAACTTTTAACGCGGCCCATGCGGCATCATGTAAGTCTCTGGGCGAACCATCCTCCAAGTCCGTTGACGCAACCCACTCAATCACTAATTTTCTCCCACAGGCAAGTGACGCATGTGTAAGAGCCTGCAATGCTTTGATGAGATTAGATAGATGATCAACAAATACCTTTAGAACAGAAAGATAGGAGTCAGATAATCCAGTGTACTTGCCAACCATACCAATCTTGACCTACAAAAATCACATCTTTTAGCTTACAAGCTAGCATCTGGCGACAAAGATAGTTAACAGGTATCGATAGGGCGTCTGATCGCTCGGCTCTCTGTGTCCATTCAGACAGCTCAGGCTGCGGTGCAGAACTGGGATAAAGTAAAGACAAATTAGCCACGAATGATCCAACAATCACACGTCCAAACCTCAGGTTCAGCTTTTTCAAAATAGCTAGATGAACATTTTGATCCTACAACAGAACGTAGTTAGCATTCCTGAAAATGAAGAAAGCAATCCTTACTCTTAGTAGTAAAGGCACATGCCAGATATTTGACACGTCGTGGATACTGAGTATATGTCCGGCCTGAAAGAAACAAAGAAAGGGAGAAAAAGTTTTTAGAAAGCTGGAAAAGACAGTGAACATAAAAAGACGCACCGGAACGTGGCAAAATTGCGAAAGCTTTTCCCTTGTGCACTGCTCCAGTGGCTACAGAGAAACTTTTAAACCGTTTGAATAAAGCTGACCCATGCTAAGGCTGAAGTTTGTTACCTTCGCGCTTCTACACCCAAGTAAATCGGGCGTCAGTCCTAAAGCTCGAAGAGCCTGGACGCTATGCTGTGTCGGTTTGGTTTTCTGAAAGCGATCAAAATATTTTTCTTCAGTGATAGCTTTCAGAAGACAACATCGTTACCTGTTCTCCAACAACACCGAGGACAGGGATAAGACTGACGTGAACGAGGCAGAAATTCTCCTGTCCTGTTGAAACAGCAAACCGGAGAAACTGCGTAAAAAGCAATCCCGTCTTGCAGAAAGCCGACTTACCAACACGAAATTGGAACTGCCTTAACGCCTCAACAAATGGCGACGACTCGATGTCACCTGTACACGCGAGTCACAACACGAGAAATCATGAGAAAGGCCGAACCCACCAATTGTTCCCCCTAGCTCGATCACGCACACGTCCGCTGCACCTTCTTTCCCATCGACAGGCACAACCGCGACACGTTCGATCCACTCTTGGATCTCGACAGTTATATGCGGGACAACCTTGCAAAACAATCCATTGGCCACTTGAAAGGAATGCAAACTTACAAAGTCACGCTCACCTGAACGGTCTTCCCAAGGTAATCGCCCCTCCTTTCGGCATCGATGACGGACTGCCAGACGCAGGCAAGTTTCGTGAAAAACCAAAAGCAATAGACTTTGATACCTGGTAGATTTTTCCAGTGGTGATGTTGTTGTTCTTCGTCAGAGTCACGTCCAAGAAGCGCTCGTAGTTCCCGAGGTCCAAATCCACCTGCATGTCACGAGGATTACATGGAAGGAGAGACCAAAATCTCATAGTGTGAAAGCAAGGACAACAAACGAACCTCCCCTCCATCGTCCAAAACGAAAACTTCCCCATGCTCGAATGGAGACATCGTCCCGGCATCGGTATTGAGATAAGGGTCTAGAAAGCATCGATGAGAAAGCAGCAATGAGATGAAACAACGATCCAAGAAGCGAGAATACGCACCGATTTTGATGGAAGTCACGCGCAGGCCGCAGGATTGGAGGACAACGCCAATGCTGCTGGCAGTGACGCCCTTGCCGAGGCCGCTGACAACACCGCCGGTGACGATCACGTATTTCATCCTCGCAGCCGCCCTCCAAAAACCCTGCTTTTCGGCTATAGAACCCTAAATCAAAGAACGCGGTCCCTCCTCCCGGCAAAACCCCCTCTTTCAAACAAATATCTCTCTCTTTCAATCCTTTTTCTTTTCTTTTTTTTTTCTGTTTTTATTTCTTTCCAAGCTTGCCTCTTCGAGAACATCGATTCCGAATCGTCTCTTATTTTTTCTGTCCCGTGCGATCGTTTTGTTTTAGGCGTGTTGACTGGCGACGACTTATTCTAACCTCGTCAAATAGTATAATAAAAAGAGATTAGTATTAGCTTGTAAACCAGCCTTTGTTCATAGGCCTTGGGACGTTCTTGTCTTGGGCCCTTCGCTCCAAAATGGACCTCGTCCTTAGATTTTCTCTCCGTCCCAGCGCGCTCCAGCTGCTCTAGAATCCATGCCTCTCTTCTTCTTTTTTTTCTCTCGGCGAGTTCGGCCGTCTCTGCCTCAATCATCGCTACAAATGCTGCTCTAGAGACGGATTAAAGAACCTTCCTTCGAAAATAGTGTGACGATGGATCTCTCTCTGATCGCCTTCGTACAGTCTCCCGCATTGATCTCTCCTGATCCTGATCAGCACAAAATAAGTTTGATCGGTATTCTTTTCTCGTTTCCACCTTGCTCTTGTCCATGCTCTTGCCAGGCTGCGCTCGTTCTCAGAGACAGATGCGAACTAAAAATCAAGATCACGCTTCTGGAAAAAAGCTATAGACCACCTGGTAGATGTTCGTCACGTCTACGAAGCGCTCGTCCGGAGGTCCAAATCCACCTGCACGTCACGAGGAAGATAGCAAACGAAAACAAAAATTTCTTGGTGTGGAGAAACAAACGTATTACATTTATATAGAAAACCACGCAACACAAACATGTATAGAAACCATAGTAGTAAGGTGGACGCGGCTTATTTCTCGTTGCGCATGGATGGATTGTTTGCTAGATAGCGCAGTAGAGTTGACGATCTACTAGCAGTAACGATCTCGAACTTTCCCGCTTGATCCTGACCATTCTGCCGGAGCACGTAGCAATGGCAAGTGCCTCCGGTACAAGCATCCTGCCATCCCGCATGTTGCATCATGAGCTTAATAGCGCCAATGTGGAAGCTCCAGCGGCTTGTAGAAGAGGCGATCAAGGTTGACGCGCTCATTCATCTCCCTCTGTGAGATACAGTAGGCTGGAACAGCTCCACTTCCCATGGCACAGACATTCCTCTTCTCGATTTTGATGTCGTCTCCCAGTCCCACGATCGTCAGGATTTCCTCGCTGCTGATGATGACTCCACCGTGCTGTGCAAGGTATGGTTGACGAGCACGGCGCAGCTCGTCGGCGGAGTTGGAGGCCTCAAGCATCTTCTCCAGCACCCTGACCTTGGCGACGTGGCCTCCAAAGACGGCCCAGAGCGTCCCGTTCGCGATCGGGATCGCCTTCTCCCTTTTTTCGTCGATCACTGGCGGGAGAAAATCTTCCCAGGACCTGAACTGCAGAAACCCGGCGATGCTTTCGATCTGGTTGAGCTCGGCCACAGCGGCAAAGACCGGCTGTGAGACGCTGGAGCAGCGTTAAGGGAAGAAGGCCTTTCGAACTCGAGACCACGGTGGCGAACCATTTCTGGCCAGGGATGACGCTGGGATCGCTTCCAAGATAAACACCCCACAAGGGAGGGCGAGCGAGTGGCGCGGCCATCGACAAACAGCATCGTTCCTCCGAGGAACCGGCGAGCCAAGATCATGGTGCCCGTCGTCCGCAAAGCAACTCCTCCTCCAGCGCTCACCTCGCTCGCGAATCCACTGACGCTGCCGTTGCCGTCGGCCGCGATCCCCCGATCACATCCTCCCTGCGCCGCGAGGAGAGGCGAAAGAGGGAAATCGAGGACGTGAGGAACCGCCATGGAGAGAAGAAAAGAAGGAAGATTTCTCGCGCTGGAGAGCAAGAGAGAAGACGAAAACCCTAGCTAGAGCTCGCTGGAGCGCAAGACGCAAAGATGTGGCCTAGGATTCATGAACCTGGAACTTCAAACGTGAGAATATTCGCTCATTCCTACGCCCGCTCCGTACCAACGACTATTTCGTACATATCCTGGATATGGTTAGTTATGCCTTTTCTGACAAAATATTCTAAGAATATGTGTACCTAATTTAGGTCTATTAAACCTAATTTGACCATGACCGGGAATATACAAGACTTTGACGGTAGTCAACGTAGGCGATGGCTCACTTGAGCAGCGCCGGCGCCTTCGCTTCAGTGGATTCAATCCACAAGGACACCTGCAGGGCGGCCATCCTGCGCCTCCGCCGCGTCAAGGGATTTGGAAAGTATAGGTTGGCGGACGACGAGCGCCTGCAGGCTTGGTTTCCCGCAACACAATCGCATCTGGAGCTTCAGGCCGATGCGGACAGCCGCCTCGGCGTCTCCCGTCCCGTCTCCTACATCGGCGGCTTCCTGCTCCTGGAGATGGAGCGCGAGAACGAGATACGCCTGGCGCTGAAACCCATGGACAGTCAAGGATCCGGAAAGCTGGTCTCGTTGCTGCCACCACTTCACGCACCTCCCAGGCTCCAGCACGCGGCCACCAGTGCTGCTTACAGAGTGCATGTCGATGCCACGTTTCCGTTCTGGCGGATCTCGGCCATGGAGAGGATCGATGCATTGTGCAGCATCAGCAGCATTCTTCCATGGGTGGCAACCATCGACGGCCTCGCCGAGACGTGGGCTGTGCACGAGGGGATCCAGGCGGATATGGTTCCCAGGCATGTCCCCGGCTACGCAGGCCTGAGCCTGGATTCGTGCGCCTACTTCTCAAGGCGAACCGGCGACGACGAGGTCAGCCTCTTCATCTACGACATGATCAATTGTCCGAGATGGTCAGTGCTCACGGTTCCGGCTCCCGAACGCCACATGGAACAGGCCCAGCAGACAACATCGCACAAGTTCTTCTCGTACAAGGGGCGCCTGCTCTTGGCATGCGTTTCGTGCAGCTACTTCTGGGCGTCGCCTTTGCTGGAGGTGTGGGAGTTCTGCCCCGTGAAGAGGCACTGGTACAGGAGGAGCTCGCCGTTTGCGATGGCTGAATGCAAGGCCGCCCGTCGCCACCGGGGTCTTGCTAAAACCAGGAGCAGTCGAGTGAAGAGCTCAAGCGATGTCTTCCTTGAAAGGCATCCCGATGGTATCGAGTCGTATGGCATCGAGTCGTGGAGAGCCGTGGATGGCCGGAACGCCGCGGTCTTCAAGCTGGATGGCAACTTCCTCATTGCGTTTCCTCACAGGACTAGCGCGCGGCCCATCCAGGACGCGAATTCTCGCGAGAGGGTGAGGGTGGAGCGGGACTTTGTGGATCCGGACTCTTACATAAGACATGACAAAGCGGCTTTTCTTCCAGTGGCATACAACTTGGACACGGACGAATGGATCAAGATGGCTGGCTATGACAGTGATTTTGTCTATGAGCTCGTCTGTTAATCAAAGAAAATTCTCACTCTTCCTTTATACTACGTAATATGTCGCTTTGATCGATCGTCAAAGAGCCGGGAGATTGAGAGACGGTGGCAGCAGCATCGCGATGGAGAACGTAAACAGCGCAATGATGGAGATGGCCAGCCACGCCAGGAACTGGTGGAGTGGGAACGTCTGCCTCACAGCATACGACCAGATTGTGCCGCCAAAGGCCGGGCCGACGGCGCGGAAGAAGCTGCACAGGCTGTGGCTCAGCCCCATCACTGCTCCCATGTTCCCGGAGCTCGCCGAGTTGCTGATGAGGACCAAGACCCCGGTGAAAGTCGTGCACGCGATGGCGCTGCGAGCGGCCATTGCGACGGCGAGGAGCGTCCACTGCGCTGGCCGGGCGTGGGAGAGGAGCGATGCCGCCGGGAAGACGAGCCAGAGAGGGACCGAGGTGATCAGTCCCAGCCGGAAGCAGTTGAGAGGCCCGAGCTTCTGGGAGACGAGCGGATAGAGGAGGAGAGTGTAGAGGAAGAGGACGACTCCTCCCTCCCCGAGGATCAGTCCCAGAGAGGAGGAGCTCAGTCCCAGTCCTCCCACTCGCTCCGAGGCGGCTCCAAAGATCGGGAAGAGCTCATCTGGATAGAAAAGAACCTTGAGATAGAAGAACTCGAGAAAGTTGACGAACCTGTTGTGATGAATATCAGCCCTGTTAGCGAGTAGCAGAAGGACGTCAAGAGCACGTTCCGGTCTCTTAGCAGTGGCACAGTTCTGTTTTTGTCGTCGCTGGTTCCGTCCGGGATCACGACGAACTTTGTGCTCTCGTCTTCGTCGCCGGATTCAGTCACCTTGATGCTCGGATCCGTGCCCATTTCGAGAACACACTGGTGGCAGTCTTCCTTGGGCTTTGAACCGTTCACCTGGACGTAAGGTACTCGGTTGGGCCTCGTCTCTCGCAAACTCAGGGAGGCAAAAACCGCAGCTGTCGAGAAGATAGCCGCAGCAACACAAGGGAGAAGGAAGGGGTAGCTTGTAAGGATACGAGGACAGCTCCGGATTCCATATTGTGAGCAAGGCTGAGCTAGGAGCCCGGATAAAACTGGGCCAGCGACCGAGCCAATTCCCCATGCCAAGTTCAATATGCCAAACCCCTTGGCTTTGTTCGACCTGTTGAGACGGAGCTGCGTGAGGACGCTGACTGTGACAACCAAAACTTTACTTACGTTACAACACGATGCTTACCCATCACAGATTTCTCCAAGCACCGATTTTGTAATGGTCATTGTACCGTTGAGGAGACCGCCAACAAATCTTACAATACAGGCAGACGTGTATCGCTGGCATAAACCCAGCAACAGTGCGGAAACTGCAGAGACAATGTTTCCAAACGCAAGCCATGGCTGGAAAACAAAATCGTCAGTACATGAAAACTTTCCAGTTGAAGCCAACCTTTCTTCCTGTAGAATCCGACACGGTACCCCACAATATGGAGGTGCAAAACTGTGCCAGTGGGAACAGAGAGGCCTAAAAAGAAATGAGACATCAGACATATCTTTACATGAGGCAGCAGCTACCAGGATCCCAGCATATTGCCCGGCTGTGTGAGA